TATAAGAGACTTTACTACAAATTATAAAGGAGTTTCATCATTAATAATCAAATGAACGATATTCAGTTATTTTTCTCTCACAGTTTCCCGAATATTGTGCAAACCAAATCATTAGGTTTGCTAAGGTAAATAGTTTTAATGCATAATGTTCAATGTTATATATTATTATAATAATAGTGTGTATTTAGGATACATAAAATATTTGCTATAAAAGTATAGTTGTTATATATAAAATCTTATATATATATACATGTATATATACATGTATATACATACACACACACACAAGTCTTCTATGCACATTATGGTAGTAATATAGTGAGATAGATATATATAAAAAAAAGGTAGATAATAAAAGGTGTAATTTATTCCTGTGATTGCAAAGCTGAATTTTCAGTCTTCATCCAGTCTTCAGTGTCACATGATCCTTCAGAAATTATTCTTATGTGCTGATTTTATAATATTTCATATTGTTAAAGGCTTAATATTTTCAGGTTTATTTGATGAAAATAATATTTAATAGAACAGCATTTATTTAAATTCTAAATCTTTTGTAATATTATTAATGTAATGCTTAATGCATATATGTGATGCTTAATGTAATATTCTTACAGAGTAAAAAAAAAAAAAACTTACTGGCCTGATTTTTGAACAGTACTGTATAAAAAAATGACTGTGAATCTGTACTCTCCTTTCCACAAGAATATACAGTAAATGTTGTGCCATAATATTTGCAGGCATATATGGCACATGACTGCATTAATTGGGTTTTAATGTCTTCTTAGAATCCTTTGCCTTCCTGGAGATCGAGAGCTAGTGCAGAGAACTCCAGCGCTGAAGAAGACTACTGGTTCTGTCCAAATGAACTTCAGCAGATTCACACGTCAGGCGCTCCAGCAGGCCACGCTGCAGCTCAACCTGTGGGAGAAAAACACCTTCAGCCTCACTGACCGTTTACTGAGATCAGCACGACTGGACGGAGGTGAGTTCCCCACACTAAACAGACATTAAAGGTGGACTAGGTATTTTCCACTAAAAGTTTAACACCTAAATGCGCATGAACTGTACACTCACATGAGATCAAGACTCCAGTTATATATGTTTTTGACGTCAGTAGTTATTTTTGACATCAATAAATGAGCACCAGTAGGCTTCTCTAAAAATAATGTCCACACACAAAAAAAAAAAGGACTTGTATGTCATTCTGTCTGCTTATTTTGGCAGAATCGTCATGGCAACGCCTGCAGCAGATGCCAGGAGAGTGGCATGACTTCGTTCTTCCACTTCATGCACATGTCAGCACAAGCATGAGGTCATAACTGAATAACTCAACCCACAGATCCTGGCAGTGATCTGTTGTGCTTACAGGCTTGCGAAGAACCAGAATCATGACAAACAAATGCCCAGATCGTCTTAAAAGTGCCTTCTTCTCATTTCTTCAGACATGATCCATTTTCTTTGTTGTTGTTATATATATATATATACAGTATATATTATTTAATTTTCATCATTTCATAACTTATTTAATAAACTAAATAGATCCACAAAGATGGCATGTGGTGCAGTACTCTGTTCTTAAATAAAACACACCCAGATCTGTTCATCATAAATCTTTATTTCTAATATAATAAACACCTTTTAGGGGAAAATAAATAAATCCATTTGTTGAAGCTTGATAATTGAGTTTATATTACTACTGCTTTATATAATAACTCATTTCTATTATACACATAAGTCACACTTTAAAATGTTAACCCAGGGTCAATTAGTTCTTAAACTGGGTTAATTACTCGTATAGCTTTGGTACCACAATTCAGCTTCATAACGCAGGGTTAAAAACAATGTTAAGCCCTGTCAAAACACTCCCTCATCTGCCACTGGTTGGTAGTGCGTAGTGTGAAAAGCTTATTTGTGTATGGATGATATCAAGTTATATTTCAAACACATGCGCTCAAAGTGCTGCAAGTGATTAAAACGGCTGATTTTGATTGTGGAAAATCAAGAATGAATTAAGACCTTCAGCCTCTGTACAAAAAAAATAAAATACTATTCTGTGTTTATGAAAGTGGCACCACATGGTTACAGGCATTACAGAAACAATTTACCAAATTGCCATATTCACCCATTTGCATGTCGCTCATAAATCTGAATGTCTAAAAACTCCATTCTTCTGTTGGATATATTTTACATTTGGTCCCACCAGCAGAGTAAAGGTGTCTTAACACTACCTGATTTATGCTATTTTTAATAGTTTTAATTAAAATATGAAGAGCTGCTAGCAAGTCTGTGAGAAACTCTCTGCTTAGAGAACCACCAACAGCATACTGTATATCAAAATCCATTTAGATACCTACTGAGATTACAAAAGTCTATTAAACAAATCTTCCTTCATCCCACTGTCATGGCAATAAACATTCAGTAACTAAGTTATAAAAAAAAAATCAGTTTGTATCTAATGTAGGAAATCTAACGATGCATTCGAACAATCCAAAATATATATATAAAAAAGTATAACTTAAATATGAATATCTTCTAAAAAAAAAAAAGAATCTAATACGATCATCATTTGGGTCAGTACAGAATTCAATAAATGAATCTGTAGTCATTAGTAAAGAAGAAAAGTACCCATAAACCTTAAATAACCCAAAGACTGAATAAATAAACACTATAACAAATAACCTGGCAATACAGCATATATTCAACATTAATGAAAGAGTTTTAATATAAGACTATACATAAAATTACGATTATACTGCCAAGTCTTGTGCCGAGTGGATCATTAACAAGAAAAAGGGGCGAAAAAAAGTACAACCACTTATTACAACCCAAAACGAATTAAAACTATATTTTGGCCAGATTATTGAATTGCAAACACATATTTAACAAAAGGGGGATGCATTGTTGGCACGTGTGTTTAAATGTTATTTAGTTTCATATTTTAATGGCAAAAGCAGACTTCAGTACATTCTGTGAAACTGGTGTGCATTTGTGAAATTGGTAATATTTTACAATAAGGCTGTATACGTTAACACAATTAACTGAACAATTTATTAATCTTGGATAATGTTAATTGCTATATATACTATATAAATAAACATTAAGAGTCGTCACTAATTAGCATTACAAACCAAGAATGAACAAATGACCAAACATTAATAAATGATGTTAAAAATGTTCATGACTCCTCATACATTAACTAATGCTACAGTATAGAACCTTACTGTAAAATATTACCGTTAAATTCGATGTACACCACTAAGGGGTAAACATATCTGTGTTTATGTATATTAACCGTAATGACAAAAAAAGTGTGCATTTTTAGTGCATGTTGACCCAGTGTTCATATTAAACGAATCAAATCTGTTGTATTACTGTGTGCGTGTACGGTACATGTGCGCAGGTTGTGCCTCTTGCATTGACCACTCATACATAGGGAACGAAAGAAAATGGACAAGGGCTTTGAGACTCATTTCCTCCCTCCCTCCCAAAGTTTCCTGGTCCAGATATTTTATAAGGCCTCAAACTCATCAATCCTCTGTTTAGTGTTGCCTTGGCGGATCTGCCGGAGAGTTTTGTATTTGTCTCGGCCGGCGCGCATATTCTCTGTGTGCAACAGGTCGTTCGGAGTCTTCTTGGTGTCGTCACGAGCTTGGGACAACTCTGATGTCAGAGCCTGTAAAGAAGATAATGTCAGAAATTTAGTGATGATGCTTTGATCCGTGACTTTAGAGAGCGATTAGAGCTGAATCCATGTGACTTTAGAAATAAAGGTGCTTCACGATGCCATAGAAGAACCTTTTTGTATAAATGGTTCCATAAAGAACCTTTAACATCTGAAGAACCTTTCTGTTTCACAAAAGGTTCGTTGGGGCGAAAAAAGGTTCTTCAGATTATAAAAAGGTAAGAAAGAGATGGTTCTTTAAAGAACCTTTGACTGAATAGTTCTTTGTGGAACCAAAAATGGTTCTTCTATGGCATCGCTTGAAGAACCTTTTGAAGCACCTTTATTTTTAAGAGTGTAGGACTTCAAACAATCACAGTCCCAACCCAAATGTGTTTGGATTAACAACCTGGAACATTGTTGTTTAGGCCTATGTCAGCCCCTAAACCCATTCAGAACAATTGGATATCTAGTTGATAACATTCTTATTGATCTATAGTTCCCTCTGATGTAGGTTAGGAATGTGTTACGGTTGGCGTTTGGGGAAGGGATAGTGTTTGAACTGTTCTGGGATAATTGTGTTTGGACTGTTTGATATTTCAGGAACATGACCTACTTGGCAAAATCACATTGACCATTCCTAACCCTAATTATTAACTAACCCTACAGGCAGAGGGAAATTATAGGTTTATAAGTCAAGCCCCAGCCCGAGCCTAAATCCTAAACCTAATCCTATTTCCAAAATCTGTTTGGTTGATAAGAGTGTTGCCCAGGACCAACAAAGATCTGTTAGCGGTACAACAGTTAATTCTATGAGACAAAGTAGGACATGTTTCATGTTTATAGACATCCCTGGTGCTAGACAACTAACTATTCATCTCAACCAAGAATAGCTCTAGGTCTATCCAACCCTAAACCTAACCCCAACGTTCCCCTAAAGATAAAGGCAAATTGCTAATAGATGTTGTTTTAGGACAGGGGTTAATCATTCCTACTCACAGAGAGCTATATTAGCCACTTTCTGACACACAGTAGTTCATACTCCCCAAGAAGGCTTAGAGCCCTGAAGTCGACCTACACACCTGAAGAGACTTTATTCTCTTGCATTTGCACCTACAATGGGAACCCAGCTATGATGATAGAGGATGGCAGGATCACAGCCAAACTTTTATAACTCTCTGGATACTTTTGTTGGTTTTATGTTATTTACATGGGAGTTAGAAATCAAACAAATCAACTGACACCTTATGTGCAAGTATTTACTCAATCAATTCCTGATTAGTTCCTTCAGTGGGATAGGGGCTATTCTTACAGAGTCTAGATTAATTTTTTTTTTTTTTTTAAGTAAACCCAAAGATCTTGACGAGCTGGTTCAGGGGCTACCGTTAGATCTAAATTCTGCAGGAAAGTGGATCTCTATGAGTCAGAATCAGTAACCCTGTTCTAGGCCCCAAGCCTAAAATCAGAGGGCAATGACAGGTTAATAGGAATGTTGTTTAGGACAGGGGTATTCAACCCTGCTCCTTGAGACACACTGTCCCTCTGAGCTTAGGTCCAACCCTAATCAAACACACCTGAACCATCTAACCAAGGCTTTCAAGATTACAGTCCCTTGTCTGGGACCAATAAGACGTTACAGGAAGGTATCTATCTAGAGTGCAGGAATGGTTTAATTCCGATGCCAACAACCCTGGTAAAGACTTTGATTTTAAAGACTTGATTAGTTGGCTTATTGGTGTTGGACTAAAGTTAATGAAGGCACAGAACAGGGGGATCAAACTCACTATCCTGCAGAGTTTAGCTCTGGGGTGTTCAAACCTGTTCCTAGAGGGCCACTGTCCTGCAGAGAGATCTGAACCAGCTAATCAAGTCTTCAGACTCACTAGAAACTTCCAGGCAAGTGTGTTGAAGCTAGTTGGAGCTAATCTCTGCAGGACTTTGGCCCTCCAGAAGCAGGATTGGACACACCTGGGCTGTATCCGAAATCACCCCCTATAACCCTTACATAGGGCACTATTTGAGGGGACAGCCATTTGTAGTGGTGTCCGAAACCATAGTGGACGTTCTCGAGTGCACCCATTCAGTCCCACAATGCACCGTAAAAACGAGTGCGCAACAGGTGCATGCTCAATGGCTAGAGAATACCCATAATGCACTGTGAGAGTTGCCCACCGAATTGACGCGTCGCGCCAGAAGATGGCGCCCGCTCAGAATCATCCATCATCCATTAATTTGACAAAATGCTCGTCTATGGCGTACAGCGTAACACGATACAAGTATAAATTCATTGTAAATTGATTATTAAATGGTTGAACTAGGGTTTATACATAATTTCCATGACAGAGTTTAAGATAAATCATTTCATCTTACTACTGGAGCTGCCAGCTTCAAATGATTATTAAACAAGCCATTTTTAGTGGTGTTCGACACCTTAGAGGACATTATCGAGTGCACTCATTCAATCGCACAATGCACAGCAATAACGAGTGTACAACTGATGTATGCTCAACGGCTAGCAAATACCCATAATGCACCGTGAGAGTCGTGCACCGAATGAATTGCCATGTCTCACCAGAAGATGTCGCCCACAGCTGAATCATCCATCATCCATTCATTTTACAAAGCGCTCATCCACAGCGTACAGCGTAATATGATACAGGTATAAATTCACGGTAAATTGATATTAAATATTTTAAATAGGGTTTATACATACTTTCAGAGTCAAGATAAATCCTTTCAACTTACTACTGGAGCTGCCAGTTTGCCAGTTTCAAATGATTATTAAACAGCAAGCACAAACTATGCAAAAGCGGCAGTCCTTCTGGTGCACTCAAGTGTCCGAATTTTCATTCACTCCTTCTGAACTGAATTAGTGGACCAATGTAGCGAATAGTGAATGAGGGTATAGGGGGTGATTTCGGATAAGGCCCTGGTTTAGCTCCAACCCTAATTAAACACACCAGAACCAGCTAATAGAACAGTAGCCCTTCAGGAGTGGAATTTGACACGTGCACAAGAACAAAACTCTGCAGGAAGGTAGCTTTACAGGGGCTGTATTACAGAAACACCTAAACTCTAGAATATCATCTAATATGATCTATTATGAATACACACTATTATGTGTTCAATAATCATATTGATTTCAGTAATAACCCAAGGCCAGGGCTCCTCGAAGGCTACCCTCCTGCACAGTTTAGCTCCAACTCTAATCAAACACACTTGGACCAGTTCATCAAGGTGTTCAGGATTACTTGAAAATAACAGGCAGGTGTGTTGGAGCAAAGTTGGAACTAAAGGTAGCTTTCCAGGGGCAGGGTTGGCTCCCACTGCCCTAAGCTCTAATATGGAGACTAGGAAAGTTCAACCAGTTGATACTGCAATGTTATACTTACCAACAGCTGTTTCTGAACTCGTTCATTCTTCTCGGCCTCAGTGATTCGCTGTTCTTCATAGCGGTGGTCATTGATACCACCTGTCGGCAGGTCTGCACTGTAGCTACTGTTGCTCTCCCCATCTTCAAACTCATTCTCATCAGGTTCATATGCAGGTGGTGGTGGAGGGGGAGGCGGCGTCGTCATCACCGTGTGAAGCTCCTCGCGGGTCTTCACCAGGTCATGTTGGGCCTCTTGTGCCTGGAAGAACACAGTCCAACACCACAAAGATCAGACTACCAATCCAATTATCGAAGAACTCAATAATTCACCACAGCTAGGGATAAACAGAGAGCTTTTGAACAAATCTGCAGGAATGCAAACTCATCAGGGGTAAAAAAGGTGATATCCCCATTTCCAGTATGGGTTTATGTCTTACTCTGCTCTGCCATGTCATAGCTTCCTCCTCTTTGCGTTTTTTGGCTTCCTCAAGGAGTGCAATACGAGCAGTATGTTCTGCCAGCTCAGCAGCCTGAGAGAGATGAATGGGGAGGATTTTTAATGGGGGAAAAAAAAAAAAAAAACGTGTGAAGGCAAAGTAATTTTTTAAGAGAAAGTGTGTTGGGCTCTCACCAGTTGTTCCTGACTCTTCAGCTGATCCTGGGCTTGACGGGCCAGTTCCTCCTTTGCGAACAGTGCTGCTTGCCTCTCTGCCTCCAATCTTGCGGCCTCCTCCTCTGCCAGCCTCCGTTCACGATCCAGCTGCATGGCCCTCTGCATCTGCTCCTGCAGGTCTGAAAACATGCATCCCGATTTAATTTAAAGAGTAACTATTGATACATCTTAAGAAGAAGTTTCAGTCCCTGTAATTATTCTACTTTGAAGGGATAGTTCACCCAAAAATTCAAAATATGTCATAATTTACTCACTCCCATGTCCTTACAAATACTGTATGACCTTTTTCCCTTGGAACAAATGAGAAATCCGTACAATGAAAGTGGATGGGAACCAAGGGCTGTCAATTTCCAGAAAGGCCCAATGAAGCACCATAAAAGTACTTATGACCCTTTCACTATATTACAAATTATGTGAAGCCATACAATAGCTTTGTGTGAAGAGCAGTTGATATTCACTGAACTCTTGCTTGACAGCTGTGGACACCATTTCACTTTCATTGTATGTAAACAGAGAAGCTTGGACTTTCTGCTTCATATAATTCCTTTTGTGCTCCATGGGGAAAAAAAATTCATATAGGCCCCAAAAGACAGAATTTTCATTTAAGCTGATGAAAAAGGCAGAAATTATGTAATATTGTGACAGAGCTCATAAACAGACATTCAGAAAGCTTTGTTGGACTGTGGTCAGAGATTGCTATGAATGGCCACAAGATTCAGTAACATTATTCAATCCCGAATAACAACACATATTTTACTGTTCCCATGACAAAAACAAAGAATAAATATATTTTTTAGAAATTTCTGAATGAAAAAAATCCTTGCTTAAAAATGATGACTTATACTGAATATCAGAAAGGCAAGCTTTGTGGCAAACACAAAAGAAACATGACATGCGAACAGCGGAGACAGTGTAACAGGTGCAGTATGACACCATCTTGTGTTTGTATTGCCAGTCAAATGGTATTGTCAGCTTGAGCACATTCATGATCAAAGTATAATATCTCTGTTTTACAGAGTAACAAGCTAAAAGGTTACATAAACTGAAAAGACCAAAGTGACTGTATTTAGTCTTTTCTGAAATAAAAATATATAAACATGATAAAGCTTGACATTTTCCTCACATTCTAGAGAATTCATATGTTGGCTGTTTTATCTGGTTATGTGAATGCATGAAATACAATCATCTTGCATTAGACATGAAAATATTTTAAATCAAATCAAAATAAGATTGTTTCTTATATTTTTCTAATTAAAATCAAACACGCTGGACCCTGACGCCTTACCTTTTTCTGCTTTTTTGGTCTTCTCCTCAAACTGGTACAGTCGCATCACCAGATCCTGTTTCTCCTTCTCCATCTGCTCTTTCTCTCTCTCTATGGCCTCTCGTCTCTTCTTCTCACCCTCCAGCTGAGCTCTGTAGATAAGACACAACAAAAGAGATGCACAGTGACGTCGCTCTATACCCATACCAAAAGGCATCTCTCATTCTGACCTGCCAAGGGAGACTATGTTAAAGTGGTCATATATTACAAAACTCAATTTTCCCTGCTCATAGTCTGATGTTAATTATTCAAAGGTCCTTAACCAGCTGCACAAACAGCTTCTTCAGAGATCTTTATGGTTTCATGATGTCACAAACATGAGTAGATTGACATACGACCACTCACTCGGCCCACCCTGATCGGCAGCAATGTGAACTTTGATCAGCCAATCACAACACAAAAAACTGTTTAAATGCCAGCCATTTGGAAAGTATTTTGCAGCAACAAACCAACTGGAGTTGAATAAAGGCAAAACAAAAACGACAACAACAACAAAACTAAACAAAAAACAACAAAATACAACACAACACAAAACAACAAAAAACAAAGCAAAGCAAAACACACAAAACAACACAAAATAAAACAAAACAACAAAAAAACAAAGCAAAACGCACAAAACAAAACACACAAAGCAAAACAACAAAAATCAAAGCAAAACAAAACACACAAAACAACAAAACACAACAACAAAACAACAAAATACAAAACAAAACAAAATTCAATTCATATCAGGCTTTGGGAAGCCAACGTTTCTAGTTAAGAAATAGGATGATACACAAGTGTAGAATATAGTCTCTTTTATATACTGCAGCATCTGCTGATGAGACAAAATCAGTCCTCACGTCACCATGGTGATTCATTCTCACCTCTCCATCTGTTTGTGTTGTTTCTCCTCTCGAGCCTGTGCTTTCATCTGCTGCACCTCGATGGTGTCCGGCTTCCTGCGGCGCATGTAAAGCTCATGGTTCCCCATACACAGCTGTAGGATACGTTTATTAATGCGCAACCGCGGGGAGTAGAACACAAAATCCTGCAGAGTTAAGAAGGAAGAGACAAGATATGTTGATGCAGGGGTTATAAACCATTCAATTTATTGATCTTTGATCAGACTGATAACTCTGTGTATTTATATAATAAAGTCCTGTGATAACGTAAATGTAAAACCTACAGAAAGCTGTTGTTCTGAGCAGCCTTAGACAGACCGGCTCTGACGCACAGAGATAATGCTCTATGAAGGCCAGCCTGTCAGAGGACACTGACTGCTGGTGTTTATCAGCCAAAACAGCCCTGCTAAAACTAATGACTCTTGACTGTGAACCTGCAGACGTTACAGTGATTTAGTGTTTGTGTGTCAAAACACAGCTGAAGCAGTCCCTAGAAAGCATCTTTTTGTCATGTTTGTGATTGTAATTGCGGTGTTGTTTCAGTGTCATTTATACACTCTAATAGTATTTATAATAGTGCTGTGCTGAATATCCTTAATCTAATTGTTGTTCCCATTCAAAAATGGCCAGCTTTTTAAAATTACCTCCAAATCTTGAATTCAATCTTTTTGTCAATTGATTTACTTTTGATTAGCACAAGTTTTCATTTATTCAACATTTCTAATTAAGCGATATTTCTAATTAAGTTTTTTTTTTAATATTTATATTTTATTTTAGCTTTATTTCAATTAACAATAATAATTTAATCATTTTAGTTTTAATTAACAATAACAACACTGTCACATTGATATAGTGTGGTCCAAAAGTCTGAGACCACCAGTTAAGAAGCTATTTAGAATTTTTCTTATTTAACATGTATTATTATTATTACAAATTAATCACCATAACAGAACCTTTTAGAGAAGCTGAAATATCTGGTATGAGACCCTTTTTGTGTAAAACCTGATAATTATGTTATCCAGCATGATGTCTAAAGTTTTTAAAGAGCATCTTGTGCTTCAACAACATTTTGTACAAAGTTTATGTGCTCAATGTCTCAAATTTCCAAATGGTGCAAATAATGACATGTTTTTTTATCATAACACTTCTTTAACATTTTGTTTTAATCCTAAAGCTGTTTAAATTGGATTTTGTATCCCAAATGTAATCCTAGATGTTCAAACACTGGTGTGTTTGTATATTAGAGTGGAATAAAACAAGTTTTATTCTCGCCGAAGCAGTTTTTCAGTTTCAGGTGGGACTGTGAGGTATGAAGGCGGCTTGTGTCACAATCATAGTTTCACTTACTGGAGCTTTTTTATCGATAGGCTTGATGACAAACTTCTTATCATTGAAGGAAATGTTTCTTATTTCACTCCAGGGGAATCCAATTTTCGGAGTGAGTCTGTAAAGACAATGATGAAATCATGAGAGATGTTAGGTATTCATTCCCGAACATACAGTCACGCAAAACAAACATTGTAGGGTGGATAAAACCTGAAATCCCCATAGAAAGACATGGATGACAACAATCAGGTCTCCGGTTGCTGATTGAGCAAAAATCTAAATATTAGCACCGAGATGAGTTTGTAATGCAATGAGAATGTTGTAGCACAGGCATGACGGTCCAACGCTGAGATACTCAAGGAATGTAAAGACAAGGTCGGGCCTGTGATTAACGTGAGCGGATGACATCATCGCAGTAAGGAGTGTGCCGTGTGATCTCTTTGTGAAGCTCATGGGAGTGTCGTTACAACTACGCCTTCAAACATGCATGTCACACTGTTTCTATGCGTAGCCGAGAGAACACAAAGCTATTGTGGCACACCTCGCATTACACGCCACAAATGATTCCTAAAACAAATTATATAAAAGGTTAAAATTAATGATGGTAATAAAAATGGTATGTAAGATCGTGCACTTGTAGCTCATTCAGTTGTTCTTTTTTATTTTGATTAAATACTCTTTAAAAAAAAAAAAAAAAAAGTAAATCATAATGGTAACCATATTTTAATGATAACACTTTACAAGACATTAGATAACATTAGTTATTGCATATTTGTTACAGTATTTATTCATCTTTGTTAACATTCATTAACTGTTCATTGTTAATGTTAACTCATTTCCATTAAATAATGTCAGCATGTAGAACTTTCCAGCAGGTGTCACTATTATTTGCGTATGTATATTAGTTCTTATTAGTCCCTCATGTGTGCAAGTAGAAATGGACGCTTACGTGTTAATTCTACCAGTGTAGAACTTTCCAGCAGGTGTCACTATTATTTGCGTATGCATATTACAAATGATAGATGTTGTTATTATGTTCTGGGGTATTTGAAGAAATAGGTGTGTATATTTACCATCTTATTCTAAATGCAGGCACATTTATGTTATATTTCATATATGTTATAATCCTACTAGGTTACAGATATGTCTTATTGTCGTTCCTAGTCACCAGATTGTGTATCTGTATATGCGTAGTTAGTCAGTGCGCAAGCGCCGCCTTTTTTCATTTTCATTCTGTTGTTGATCAGGACTGGTACGCTTGCCGGTTTATAACCTAGCATCCTAACTGATTAGTTAACTGACAAGCTAAAATGTCACATATAACCAACTGATAGGCTAGCGTAGCAGTAACATTCAGGCTACCTTGCCTGCGAATAATTATTGTGTATGTGTACGCAATAAAAAGCTAAAAATGGCTTGAGTTGTATCCGCCGTGCTTGTCCTGAAACCCTTCCAGTGGGGAGTTTATTGACCTATAACAGGTAATTTAGTAAAAAACTGGACAGTTATAAACCGTTGTCGGAGCCGTGCTCGAGAATTCACGGACACCGAGTGGAGGAGAAGCCATCGTTGATGACCGACGTCAGGATCGGAGACCCGTATTCTGAGAAGGAAGCGGCCGTTAACAACACCACTGCAACGGAGGAGCCGAAGCCAAGAGCTAACGGGACCGTTAAAGGGCTAAATAACTTCTACAACCGTGAGTAAGGCTGGGTGGATAATAATAGCAGCGGAGCTAACAATGCAGCTACCAGACATAACAGCTGAGTTGAATCGTTTGAGTCGATTCTTCTGAACGATTCTTTTTGCTAAAAAAGTGATTTTAGTGTTTCTGATCACCGGGAAGAGGAAAAAAGAGACAGAAATGGCAGATCTGGAGAGTTTAAAGCGGGAACGCTCAAACGCGCAACGAATCTTTACAACAAGAATGAACCGCCTTGAAGTCAGTGCTAGCCGTTTACGTGAAGTTGAGTTGTCAGAAGAGTTAGCGAAATTGAAGGACGATTATAACAAACTCCTTGATGTCAGTAATGAGTATGTTGACTCACAGAGCCAGATAGACCCGACAGGTGCCGACAGTGAGTCGCGGGACGCTGTGACGAGGAGAGATGCCAGTGAGCACAAATTCCTTGAAACGGAGAGCAAGATCATGGAAATGCTGTGGTCTAAGTATGCAGGGCCAGACATAGACGCTCTTGTAACACAGTTCAAGTCTGCTTTTGATCGAGCTGAGGCGCTTGACACAGGTAAAGTGCCATGGACGCAGCAAAGGGTCGAAAGTGGTAAACTGGATAGGAAGCTCCATGAACTCAAGGAGGCTGTGTGCACTTGGAGAGATTATCGGCCACATGGAAGAGACAAATGGATGCTCTTTTTATCATTGAGAGAGGATAAAGAGCAACTGACGGATGGGTGGGCATACAGACATGAGAATGAGGACGAAGATGAGAGAGGCGATGACGCGGTCGGTGGGCATGTCATAGCTGAGAACGACAGCCTTACAGCTGCGAATAGCATCACCTTTACCCAACCAGTAACCCTTGCCATTGCTACTCCACCTGTTAACAGTCAGCCTGCTGTTGTTAATCCGCCCATTGAGGGGCGGGGAACTGTATATGTTACGAGCTCTCCTTCATTCATGTCTACAGACAGAGCAAGCATCTCTACCTGTATAGCTCGAGGTTCTATAGTCACTAGTCAACCTCAGAGCAGGTATGTCGCAGCTACCGTACACAATACCCCCCAACAAACGTTACAACCAATTCTGCAGTCAAGGAAGTCTGATAGTGGACTTGGTGTCAGTTTCGCCTTACCTCCAACTCTTGCCAGCACGCCACAACTGCTGAGCGATCGTGCTACTCCGCCCGTCGATCTCAGCATGGGACAAAGTAGTAGCATGCCATATAGTAGCCCTGGTTTGTACGCCGGTGGGGATAGCAGCTCTCAGTGGGCCCGACCAAAAATAAGGCTCACACCCATAAGCTTACCTAAATTCTCCGGGGACAGGAGGGGTTATTGGCGTTGGAAGGCTGAATGGGAAAGTATCCAGGCGCAAGCGGAACCTACGGGGTCAAGGGAATGCAAGAAACTTCACTTACTAGACAGTATAAGTGAGTCTGTGAAAAGTGAACTCAGGCTGTTGCGCTGCAGAGATGCAAACGATATCTTCAGGGAAATGGAGAACCGTTATGGTGAAAAGCACAAACAGCCGAAGAGATTGTGTTGGAGCTTCAATCACGACCTGCTGTAAAGAACCATCAGCCACGAGAAACGTTAGAGTTGATTCTAGCAGTGGAGAGGGCAGTATTGGACCTCACAGACCTGGGGTGTGAAGACGCTGTACGGAATCAGCTGGTGATTCGGTCTTTGGAGAGTAAACTCCCTGATGTTATGAAAAGAGAGTGGCTCATGTGTGTGAGAAACCCTGTGAACGACGTTCATCCTGGAAACCGTTTCGACAGGCTTTTGATGTTCCTGGATGACCAAAAGTCGTTGCTAATGCTCCCGAGAGATCAAGCCACCGGGAGAAACCAGGTGACAGATGGAGAGAGAAGAAGTCGTTCACTAAGACTTCAGCAAGTGAAGTAAAAAGGGACTCCAAGCAGTTACCATGTGCCGTGTGTGATGGAGATCACGGAGGTCAACTGTTTCGTTGTAACACTTTCAGAAAAGCTAATCTGTCAGAGAAGAGACCTCAAGTGAAAAAGGTAAAAGCATGTACAAAGTGCTTGGAAGTTCACGGAGTCGAGAGTGACTGCACTCCAAAGTTTCTCTGTCGTAAAGAAGAGTGTAAGAAAGGCGACACTCCAGCAGACCACCACTATTTCCTTTGCCCTAAAGCATCAACAAAGAAAGACGCTGGTAGGAGGGAAAACAAAGCAGAGGAAAAGAGGGGAACTCGAGGTCCGACAGAGGAGCAAGAAGCTGTGTTCGCCGAGTTGGGACTGACTCCCTACCAGTTGGAGGCTGTCCGCAGAGCCTGTACTAACAAGGCAACGTCGATAGTGTGTTCTGGCAAGAGTCTGAAAGGTCAGAGTGGCTTGAAAGAACATTCAGTCCTCATGATGCTCGAGCCTGTCACGACAAAGAGAGGAGACAGCCTTGGAGCTTTGGTCGATCTCGCTTCTGACACGAATTATATCACACACCAAGCTGCGGAAAGGCTCGGACTGACCGGGGAACCGATCTCCCTTGTCGTGTATGGTGTCGGTACGATGAAGGTGAAAGTTGATACAAAAAGGTATCTCGTGAAAATAAAAGTGTGGACCTCCCAAGGAACCCTTAAACTCCACGAGATGATTTGCTATGGGATGGAAGACATCGCCAAAGTGGATCGAGAGGTGAAATCGGAGCGGCTAGAGCAATTTTTCCCTGAAGTGGAGCCGGGAGAACTGGCCCGCCCAAAGAAGATCGATCTATTAATCAGCACTCGTGAAGGCCGATTAGCTCCGAAAAGACTGCAAAGGGTTGGCGATCTAGTGTTGTGGGATGGTCCTCTGGGCAAGTTCGTGAGTGGTGTGCATCCAGACCTCTTTGAAGAAGTGGAGATAGCTGCTTGGCAGTCGAAGACGCACTTTGCTCATTCAATGAGAACAGTAGCCTTCAAGGTTGAAGAACACTTTGTGGGAAGGCCAGGAAGACATTTGGAGCAAGAAAACAGAGTAGAAGTTCGAATGACAGCAGCGTGCAATAAAGAGGTCCTTGAGTGGCTAAAGTGGGACAGCATCGGTGCTGCCTGTGACCCAATCTGTGGAGGATGTCGCTGTGGAAAGTGCTCGCCGGGAGGAAAGGAGATGTCCCTGGTTGATGAGAAAGAGCTGGAGATAATAAAGGAAGGTCTAACCTTCAGGGAGAGAGACGCTCACAGCGATCAGCCCCACTGGGATGCGAAGTACCCCTGGAAGGAAAACCCAGTCTCTCTTCCTAACAACCGAAAGGCTGTGGAAGCAACGTTCCTGAGGACTGAGAAGCGGCTCACGAGAGACCCTCTGTGGAAAGAGGCTTACCTGAGGCAAGTCCATGAGATGGTAGAGAGGGCAGCTGCTGTTAAGCTCCTAAAGATGTTATGAACAGCTGGAAAGGTGCTGTGTGGTGGGTGAGTCACCTAACCGCCCCAAA